TTGTAGTTAATTTGAAACCACCCTATGGTACCGAAACCCGTTCTGTGTATGAAGGAGACAGCACATAAGCAGACTGCTGGTCCTACAAGCTGGAAGACAGATCCCACCGTCACTTTCACCACACTGCCACCTCAGAGAGCCCTTCCTCAGGCTAGCCTAGCAGTCTGATATAGGATTTAGGCTAAGATTTAGGAACTCCAAGAAATGATGGTTTGCCTGTTGATAAGAAATCACATCAAGGCCAGGCACTGGTGGCTCATGCCTGTAATCCTTGCTACTCTGGAGGGCTGAGATCTGAGGGGCAAGGTTCAAAGCCAGCCTGGGCAGAAAGGTCTGTGAGACTCTTATCTCCAATGAACAACGCAGAAAAAAAAAAAACAGAAGTGGTGCTGTGGCTCAAGTGGTAAAGCACTAGCCTTGAGCAAAAGGAGCTCAGGGACAGCGCCCAGGTCCTGAATTCAAGCCCCAGGACCAAAATCACATCATAGATTGCTGACATTAATGAAATGATGTGTGACATGCAGCAGAGTCTTGTTGACCCAAAGCCTCTATGGCCCATGGAAATTGGTGGCCCCCATCTGACCGTCCAAGACCAAAAACTCCCCCACCCAACCTGTGGGTGGAGTTGAAGGTGCATAACCAGGTCCCAAGGAGATAATGACACATTGACTCAGTTTTCCAGGACCCAGCACCCTTGTGTCTGCAATAAAAGCCTGACATCTTGGGACCCTACCCTGTGATCCTCCATAAGCACCTGTCCCCACCACAGAGAATCTTTACCATACAATGTCTATGGAGGTCAGATGACCCAAGCAGAAGGGATCCCCCCACAGGGCCCGTTCTTGCCCTGGTAACCTCTCACCACAGTCACCCTTCTGGGCATTGGGTTGATGGGCCACAGCAGGGTTACAGATGCCGAATGTGCTGCTGGGTTTGGAGTGATAGTGATGTCAATCAGTGGAGGACACAATGACCAGATGATCCCAGAGCTTTGGGTCTGTGTTTGGACAGACGCAGCAAATTTGATGTATGATTCAGCTCCTTGAATGTTTTTCATTTAACAAAACTGATGGTTTTTGTCTGTGAGAAACCATGTATAGTTTGGGGTAGGAGTGGGGATGCTGCAAAATAAATTACTACCTGGGGCTTTTTGCTAACCAAGGCTTTGGTATATGGACACCTATTTAAAATTCACAGATTTCATGCTAGACACTGGTGGCTCACGCCTGTCATCCTAGCTTCTCAGGAGGCTGAGTTCTGAGGAGCACAGTTGGAAGCCAGATGGGACAGACAAGTCCAAGAGATTCTTTTTTGCTGTTGTTGTTGGTCGTGGGGTCTGAACTCTGGGCCTAGGTGCTGTCCCTCAGCTCTTCAGCTCAAGGCTAGCACTCTACCACTTGAACCACAGCACCATTTCCGGCATTTTCTGTTTATATGGTGCTGAGGAATAAACCCAGGGCCTCATGCATGCATGGCAAGCACTTTACCACTGAGCCACCTTCCCAGTCCCAAGTCCAAGGGACTCTTTTGTCCAATTAACCAACAAAAACAACACACACACACAAAAACAAAAAAACCTGAAAGTAGAACTGCAGCTCAAGTGGTAAAGTGCCAACCTTGAGTGAAAAAGCTAAGGAACAGCAACAGATCCTGAGTTCAAGCCCCAGTGCCAGCACAAGAAAAGAAAAAAAACTTACAATAAAATGGCATCTTCTTTTTGATAGGACTTTGCAAATCACTAAAGCAGCATGATCCAATAATCAGAGTTAGATGGAATGTATTCTTCTTCCATTGTGCTGCTCGGAGATCGTTTAGGAAAACATCTGAGCTGAATTACCTTTGTGAACAAGATACTCAGGGCAATGGCCACCCTTCATTTCCCCCGCCCCCAACTTGGCCTTCTCCAGAAAAGACTCCAATTAAACAAATGGATTACAGTGGAGCCATCAATGCTGGCAGGTAAAGAAAGACAACAACACTGTCGATCTCAAGGTCACAGTTCTTCACAAGGCCAACTTCCAGGGTCATACTGAACACACACACACACACACACACACACACACACACACACACACACACACACACACACACACACACACACACACACCCCTCTCCTTCACTCAGAAGGTCACGTTGTCACCATCTTGGGAAAAAAATCTCAATTTTTTTGTGTGCCAGTACTGAGGCTTACACTCAGAACCTGAGCATTGTCCCTTAACTTTTGTTGTTGTTGTTGTTCAAAGCTAGCACTCTACCACTTGAGCCACACTGCCACTTCTAGACTTTTTGGTAGATTGGAGATAAAAAGTCTCACAAACTTTCCAGAACAGACTGGCATTGAACTGCAGTCCTTGGATCTGAGCCTCCTATGTGTAGCTAGGATTACAGGTTGAGCCACCAGTGCCAGGCTTCTCAATCATTTTTTTTTAATAAGACACCTTGTATTTTCATTTTACACTGGGCTCCACAAATCCTGGAGTCATTCCCATCCTGTGATTCTTCTCTGAACACATGCTAAGAAAGACCATTCCTCAAGGAGAACAGAATCCTTCCAAAAATAAAAAAAAAAAATATATTTTAAAAAAGTAAGGAAAACCACTTCACAAAGCTTGACTGACTCGAGTATTACTTTCTCCATGGGAGAGCTTTCTGGAAGCTCCCTGTAAATCCCTGTAAAAGGTTAATTGCCTAATCCATAAAACCACTATCGTTTTCAGAAAGGACTACTTGTTCCAAAAAGGAGCTGGTAATTGGTTTTCATGCACAGCTCCATTCCTACTTTTTTTGTAATACTTTCTTCTGTTAGTGATAAATGGCTTGTCAAACCATAATGTGTATGTGTATATTAACTTGAAGTCCTTATTTCCAAAAGAAAAGATTTAACAATGAGATTCTCTCTCTACCTCTATGAGAAATAGTTAACCAAATACTAAGTCTCCCCTCAGTGGACTTAGAACGATTCATTAATATGCAGGTGACTTCATTTTCAGAGAATTAATGAAAGTTACACACACCAATGGATCTCCAATTTTCAGACAATTAATGTAAGTGGTACACACGTCAGGGTCTTCAGGGATTGCCATTTGTGATGGTTAATTTTATATGACAACTCGACTTGACCGGGTATTGAGTCAAACATTATTCTGGGTATTTCCATGGCAATGCTTTTGGCAATGTATTTAATTAAAAATCAACAGACTAAGTCTCCTTACTTCTCCCTAACCATGACTGAGCCACATCTGGTCAGTTGAAGGACTAACTAGAACAGCATTATCAGCTATCCTGAGTCTCCCATCTAGGGGTTCGCCTCTCAGATATCTTGTGATCTGTCTATCTCTGCGGCTTTGCAGCCAATTGCCTGTGATAAATCTCTCTCCTTGGCTATGAGGGTGCATGCCTATAATCCCAGCCACCACAGGAGGTAGAGATAGAATCACAGAAGCCAGCCCAGGTAAAAATCAGTGAGACACTAATCTCAGAAGAAAAAAAAGAAAAAAAGAAACCTATAATCCCACATACTTGGGACGCAAAAGTAGAAGGCTTGGACCACAGTCCAAGAGGAGGGGGGGGTGGAGGAAGGGCAAGGGAGGAGGGGGAGGAGGAGGGGGGAGGAGGGGGAGGAGGGGGAGGAGGAGGGGGAGGGGAGGAGGAGGGGGAGAAGAAGAAGAAGAAGAAGAAGAAGAAGAAGAAGACGACGACTTTACATTGAAAACTTCTTAACCCAGAACAAAAGTAAAATGTGCAGACATGCTTTATATTCAACTTTTCAAGAGTCTGCCCTGGGGTACAGGAAAGGAAAGTAAAAGCAGTGATGTCGTGCCGTTTGCAGCATCTCTGGATAATGGGGTGTCAAGCCACTTTCCTTTTTGCTTACCTGCATTTTCTGTTCTGCCCATGAGGGCGGGGGGGGGGGGGGGGGGGGGATTCTGATGCAGAATTAATTCTCTAGTTGAGCTCGGCGGGGCGCAAAGCCGACCCCGGGCGTCCCTCTAGTGGAGGGACGCGGTACTGCGCGCACGCCCGGTGGCCACTGCGTAGACTACGGTTTGCAAAGGGGACGGGGATTCGTAACCTATTCTATTCGTAAACTTAGGCAAAAAGTTTCCAAGAAGGAAGGGATAATCGACTGCAAAAGTAGAAGATAAATAAATAAACAAAAACAAAAACAAGATACCTCAGCCTAGGAAAAAGATGCTGTTGACTTCAGCCTGGAAAGCTGGCAATTAGCTTTTTAACTGTGTTGGAGGCCGAAACTCGTCAGGTTTCCTTTTCATTGTCCTCCTATGCTAGGCCTGGGCGGCCAGGGGAGGCCGAACGAGGAGGCCGAGGCCTGGAAGCCGCACCTGAGAGAACCTCGTCGCCCCGCCCCCTCCCCGGCACCGCCCCCTCCCGGACTCGGTTCCCTTAGGCTCCGCCTCCTCCTGAACTCGGCTCCGCCCCCTCCCCGAGTAGGCTCCCTTCGGCTCCGCCCCCTCCGAGATTCGGCTCTTTCGGCTCCGCCTCCCCTTGGTTCGGCTCCCTTTGGCTCCGCCTCCCCCAGTCTCGGCTCCGTCCCCTCCCAGACTCGGCTCCCTTTAGGCTTCGACCCCTCTCGGACTAGGCTCCCTTCGACTCCACCCCCTCCCGGACTCGGCTCCTCCCTTCGGCTCCGCCCCATCCCGGATCGACTCCCTTAGGCTCCGCCCCCACTTGGCCTCGGCTCCCTACGGCTCCGCCCCCTCCTGGCCTCGGCTACCTACGGCTCCGCCCCCTCCCAGACTCGGCTGCCTTCGGCTCCGCCCCCTCCTGGCCTCAGCTCCCTTAGGCTCCGCCCCCTCCCGGACTCGGCTCCCTTAGGCTCCGCCCCCTCCCGGACTCGGCTCCCTTCGGCTCCGCCCCCTCCTGGCCTCAGCTCCCTTAGGCTCCGCCCCCTCCCGGACTCGGCTCCCTTAGGCTCCGCCCCCTCCCGGACTCGGCTCCCTTCGGCTCCGCTCGGCCTTTTCCGCCTGGCGCCGGGCCGTGGCCCGGAAGCGCGGCCCATGGCAGCGGATTTGCGGGCCCAACCGACGTCCATGGCGCCGCTGCTGGAGTACGAGCGGCAGCTGGTGCTGGAGCTGCTCGACACGGACGGGCTGGTGGTGTGCGCCCGCGGCCTCGGCGCGGACCGGCTGCTCTACCATTTCCTCCGGCTGCACTGCCACCCGGCCTGCTTGGTGCTGGTGCTCAACACGCAGCCCGCCGAGGAGGTGCGGGGCGGGCGGGGGGGGGGGGGGACCCCGCGGTGCGGGGTGGGGCGGGGACTGGGGCGCGGGGCTGGCGGGGCGCCTGAGAAGGCGCGGGGCGGGGGCCGCGCACGAGGGACGCACGCCAGGCCCGAGACAGGTTGGAGGGACTCTGAGGAGATGCGGGGCCCCAATCGAGGGGGGGGCACTTGAGAAGGGGTTCCCAGGGAGGCAGATCTCGGACCCTGGGCGGACACTGGGCTACCTTGAGGAGGAAACGATTCGGTTCACCTCCAAGGGAGGGAAGAAGTCTGAAGGAGAAACCAATAGGAATAATTGGGGAGTCCCGAGGTGGAGGTTTGAGGGTGAGTCGGGGGGGGGGGACAGAAGAAGGTCGGGATGGGAAGTGTGGACGGGAGGGGCTGAGGTTGGGTCACCCCGTTAGAGAAGAGCAGGGGCGGGAGGGAGGGGAACTGGAAGCTGACCCGTGCTGGAAATGAGTTAGGAGAAAGATGGGGAAAGCACCTGTCTTGGGGTGCCGAGGCTGTAACCCAGCCTGGCGGGACAGATAGAATGGTCCTGTAGATGGAGGAGGTGGCCAGGAGGAAAATGTCTGCTTGGAAGCCTGACCACAAACTTCTGGAGGGCAGAGACGGGCACTATTTGACGCTCCTGGGCCTCCTCAGTCTGGGGCCTCCGGCACCGCATATACTAAGGCAAAAAAAAGTGAGCACCTATTCTCAAACTAAAAGCAAAAACGACTGGAAGTACGCCTCAAGTGGTATAGCACCTTCCTAGCAAGAACAAGGCCTTGAGTTCGAACCCTAGTACCACCAAAAATAATTCTTGTTGCCAAAGTGCTAATAATGGTGGAAATGCAGTTATCTTTCTACATAAACCCCAGAACAAAATCAAACGAAAGCCCTAGGGAGGTGCAAAACTGACTGGCTGAGCCCTACAGAGTAGTAACTTTGTGTATGGGTTACTAAGTTCCTTTTAAAGGCCCATGGCTTGTTATAAGCTGCTCGTGTCCAGCAGCCCCCTCACAAGTTGGATTTGCTTTAGGAGTATTTTATCAATCAGCTGAAATTAGAAGGAACCAAACATCTCCCTTGCCGCGTAACCAACGAAATCACGAGCAACAGTCGCTACGAGGTGTACACACGAGGAGGGGTCATATTTGCCACAAGTCGAATACTTGTAGTCGATTTCTTGACGGACAGAATACCTTCAGATTTAATAACAGGTAAGAATCTGAAATCCTCTTTGTTCATCAATGTGTGTGCTTTTATTTTGTATCTCTCTGTTCCCTCGGCTAAACTAAGCTAGAAAACCAGTGGGTACCATTGAATATTTGAGTTCAAGGTTGGGCATCTAGGTGGTGGCTCAATACGTAGATGCTCAGGAAATATCTGGGACCTCACTGGGTTAACTGCTGTGTTGTGTGAGAAGAGGAAGGAGTACAGTGTAAAGTAGGGAAATGTAGCCAGGTTGCTCACACCTGAGTCTCCCAGGTCTCCCAGACTGAGACCTGAAGATCATGATCCAAAGCCATTGGGGGGGGGGGGGGAGAAAAAGTTCTAGAGACCCCCATCTCCAATACTGACTGGCAAAATGCTAGACTAGAGGTGTAGTTCACATGGTAGAGCTCCAGCTTTGAGTGAGGAAAGCCAAGCAAGAGCATAAGGCCCTGGGTTCAAGCCCCGGTACCAGCACAAAAATAAAATAATAAATGAAGAAGGATGCGTGGTACAGTAAAGACATAAAGCAGGACATAGGCGCTAATAAGGGTCATCAAGTGTCCTGTGCTGTGCACAGTTGGTGTTTTGCTTTCCCGTGACAGCAGCGTGCTCCCGTGCATGTGCATGACGCCTCATCCACTAGGACATGAGTATTTGCCAACTCTGTTACAATGCATGGGACCAGCATCAGGTACATGGTCTGTTGCCAGCTGACATGTTCATGTGGCACTTTACTGTGTGTGTAAGATCCACTCTTTCCTTCTTCCCTGTGTTTAAGCTCTGTGAATGCTTGTGGTTTCTGGCATCTGCTTTTAGAACTTAGCTAGGATCTAAGAATCATCTTTACATATTTTCAAACACGTTTGGCTGTCCTCTGTGTGAATAAACTCTTCCCATAATATGACATCAAACCCAGTAGCTGCTTGGTTCTTTTGTGAGAAAGGTTTTTATTGTAAGAACAGTTAATACAGAAAAGGAATTTATTTTCACCAGGGTGTGGCCTCCTGGACATCTCTCCTGGTTTCCCCAGAGCCAGTTTAGGCGTCCACCCCGGTCAGCACGCTCAGAAGACTGTGTCTTGCTTGCTGTTAGTTGATCGGTCTTGCTCATTAATAAGCTTCCCTAGCACAGAGAAGGGCTTGGTCATCCCAAGCTGAGTAGCCAGTACCTAGGGGCCAACAGATGCCTACTGGATGGAGGTCAGTGACCTGAAAGGCAGGGAAACTGCAGGCTGGGTAAGCACCCTCCCCGCTGTATCGGTCACACTGCCCGAGCTGACAAGAACTTAGGAAATGATTAGTGAATGCATGTACGAATACACACTCTTGAGTGGTTCATGGCAAAATGTCTGAAGAAAAACTGTTATTCTTCTGCAGCATTTATCATGCATGGACCTTGTATCCAGATCTGCCTGACTTTGAATGCTACATACATTGTTATTTGTGTGTATGTGCACTAGTACTGGGCTCGAACTAGGTGCTGCCCCTTATCTCTTTCTCTCAAGGCTAGTGCTCTACTGCTTTTTGCTCTGTCTGTCTTTTTGGTAGTTGATTGGAGATCAGAGTCTCATAGACATTCCTGCCCAGGATGGCTTCTAAGTCAGATCTCAGTGTACTGAGAAGTAGGATTACAGGTGTGAGCCACTGGGCCTGCCTAATGCTACATTCTTAAATCTTCAATCAGAAAAGCCGTGCCTCTTAAGAATTAAATGAAATAACCTAAAATACTTATCATAGTGCTGGATACATGGCAAACTTAATAAATACTAACAAAAAATGACCATTTATAACCAGATCATCTGGATGCACCGTTATTGTCTGCTATGTTGGCTGTTGGCTCATGAGCTTGGTTTAGTGTTTAGATTTTAACACTTGGTTTAACATGTCTCTAAATGACCACTAGATGTCAGTGCTGGCCTGGCTTTCAGCCCAAGCACAACCTCATGGAGTGGAGAGCCATATGCCTCATTGCTAGTCCCGCTATAGTTCTCCTCAGGTCCTAGCCATCCATGAAGCTGGGCCTGGCCCCACTGCCCCTTCATGATGAGAGAGAACTTTCTCATCATCCAGCCACATTCCTCTACCAGGACTGACCACAGGACACCTGACCCCCAGCCCTAGCTCTCTTCCCACTAGTACGCTGTCACCATTCGTATCATTGCAGAATACCTCAGCAGGGAGAGCTTGGAGAGCTACGCAGACCAGGCCAGCAGAAGCTGACCCTGATGTCCAGAGAAAACAGAACACCCTGCACACATTTTTAGAGACAGTTAGGTATTCGATTTGTATCCCCAGTTGCTAGAACTTGGCCCTATATCCATTCCCCAAGTGTTGCATTCCTAAGGGCTCTTCTTCAGCAGGAAGGGCATGGGGTTAGGAGTGAGCTGCTGAGTTCCACTGGCCTTGTTTGCATGCGCCTTGCCCTTGTCTTCTGCAATTTCTTAATTCCTCTGTGCCTCGCTGTCTCCATAAACGGAGAGTGGGTGAGGTGACGCCTGGCAGCGAGGCCCAGGGGCAGCTGGTGACCGTGCCCTTCCACGGCCTGGTGGACACACACAGGTAGTCACAGCATGGGAGCATGCAGATACAAAGAGGTTTCTTCGGGACCCAAATTGCCTTCCCCGGCCCCCCTCCAAATCCCAACCTGCTAGTAGTATTTGCTTTTACAAAGATCGTGTAGAAAGATCACGACTGAGAACATCTAAAGTCCTGGATCTCATTTGTGGTGACCTTGCTCAGGGTCACTTGCTCTCATAATGATTTAGCTACGGTAGAATTAATCAGGAGTAAATGAAGTACCCAGACTATGAGAGTACCCAGCCCAGCACCTGGAGAATCCACTTGATTCTCCTTCTGCCAGGTTCTAAAAGAACCATAGCCTTGAGCTGGGCACCAGTGGCTCACACCTCACTTTAGGAGGCTGAGATCTGAAGATCATGATTTGAAGCCAGAGTCTGTGAGACTCTTTATCTTCAATTAATCACCAAAAAGTTAGAAATGGAGCTGTACCTCACGGGATAGAGAGCCAGCCTTGAGCAAAAAAAGCTAATGGACAATACCCAGGCCCTGAGTTTAAGCCCCAAGACAAGTAATCTCCCCCCAACCCCCACCCAAAAGAAAAAATTCAGAACCAGCCTTCTGACCTTCATGGCCCCTCTTTCTCTTGGCCCTTGGAACACACTAAGTACTTTACCCATAATACTGTTGGCCGGAAGTTCCACAAGGATTTGTTTACAGCTGCATCCTCAGACTAGAGAGGCACCTGCAGGCATTCCAGAAAGCCGAGAGTGAGGGGCCAGGCACGGGTGTGCAGGTGCCATGCCTGTGTGTGCAGTTTCCATCCTGCCCGCCCCCAGGCATCCTGGTGTACCGAGCCCACCGAATCATCGAGTCATGTCAAGAAGCCTTCATCCTGCGCCTCTTCCGCCAGAAAAACAAGCGCGGTTTCATCAAAGCGTTCACGGACAATGCCATCGCCTTCGACACCGGCTTTTGTCACGTGGAGAGAGTGATGAGAAACCTTTTTGTGAGGAAGCTGTATCTGTGGCCAAGGTAAGCCACACCATGTGAGACACAGTCTTGTGAGAGGCTCTAAACTGCCTGTGTAACAGAATGAGGGTTGACTGTTGCCATCGGTGCACCCGATCGATGCCCAGCAGATGCATGCGAACATGTCAGTCTGTGATGCTTTTGAAAGTACAGATTTGGGAGTTAATTTTCCAGTGGCCCATCCAGTCTGCAAAGCCTCGCTATTTTTTTTTTTTGGGGGGGGGGTCCGGTCTTGGGGCCTGAACTCTGGGCCTGGGCGCTGTCCCTCAGCTCTTCAGCTCAAGGCTAGCGCTCTACCACTTGAGCCACAGCGCCACTTCTGGCTTTTTTCTTTTTGCTCTTGTGGTGCTGAGCAATCGAACCCAGGGCCTCAGGAATGCAAGGCAAGCGCTCTACCACTGAGCCACCTTCCCAGCCCCAAGCCTCGGTATTTCTTGTGCTTCTGGGCAAACCCAGAGATCTTGAGGCCCAGCAACACAACAGCCATAAGAGAATTGCAGATTTACTAACCAAGACTTCCACTTACCTTATTAAATATTACTCAGGGAATTTAAAGAATTTGGGTGAGGGGCTGGGAAGGTGGCTCAGTGGTAGAATGCTTGCCTTGCATGCATGAGGCCCTGGGTTCGATTCCCCAGCACCACATAAGCAAAAAAAAAAAAAAAAGAATTTGGGTGAACCTCTAAATACAAGGTTTCAATTTTCTAACTTTTTTTTTTTTTTTTTGGATCCGGTCATGGTGCCTGAACTCTGGGCCTGGGCGCTGTCCCTCAGCTCTTCAGCTCAAGGCTAGCACTCTACCACTTGAGCCATAGCGCTACTTCTGGCTGTTTTTCTTTTTGCTTATGTGGTGCTGAGAAATCGAACCCAGGGCCTCAGGCATGCAAGGCAAGTGCTCTACCACTGAGCCACCTTCCCATCCCCTCAATTTTCTAACATTTTTGTAACTGTATGTGTCCTGATAAAAAGTGTACTTTATGCTGAGTAGCCAGATGCTGGTGGCTCATGCTTATAACTCTAAACTACTCAAGGAGCTGAGATCTGAGTATCAAGATACAAAGCAAGCCCAGGCAGACAAAACCAAGAAACTCTTTTTTTTTTTTTTATGTTGTTATTATGAAGTTGATGTACATAAGTCAGGTAATAGTACATTTCTTTTTGGACCATGTCACCCCATCCCTCACTTTCCAAGACACTATCTCCAATTACCCACCAAAGAGCCAGAAGAAGAGGCATAGTTCAGATGGTAGAAGGCCAGCATTGAACAAGAAAGCCAAGCCAGAATACAAGCCCCAGGAGTCTAAACCCTGGACCAAGAGTGGTAGTTGAAGCATTTTTTGGAGGGGAGTAAACTTCTCTAGAGTCAGACAGTGAACACTGGGCTTTTAGCCTCAGGGTCTGACCCAGTGCTCTGCTTTGCAAAAGACAGACAGCAGACAGTAGGAAAACAGTGAGGTGACTGTGTCCCTGAGATGGTCTACTCGGGGCTCGGATGTGGCCCTGCCTGTATGAATGACAGACATTGGGTTCACACAGGTCCAGATGCTCTGTACACCTTTTTTTTCTTTTTTTTTCTTTTTTTGTCAGTTGTGGGGCTTGAACTCTGGGCTTGGGCGCTGTCCCTGAGCTCTTTAGCTCAAGGCAAGTGCTCTACAGCTTGAGCTACAGCATTACTTCTGGTTTTCTAGTGGTTTATTGGAGATAAGAGTCTCACAGACTTTACTCCCCGGGCTGGCTTTGAACTGCGATCCTCAGATCTCAGCCTCCTGAGTAGCTAGGATTACAGGCGTGAGTCACCAGCACCTAGCTCTTATTGTTTCTTAACTGCATTTGCAAACATTCAAAAGCGTTTTAAACCAGAACTGAAAACACAGGGCTGAGAAGGTTCCAGAGACATGGAAAACTTTGTCTCTTTAGGTTCCACGTGGCAGTCAACTCGTTTTTAGAGCAGCACAAACCAGAAGTGGTGGAAATTCATGTTGCCATGACACCTGCCATGCGGGCCATCCAGACAGCCATCCTGGACATTTTAAACGCCTGTCTGAAGGAGCTGAAATGCCACAACCCATCACTGGAAGTGGAAGACTTGTCTTTAGAAAATGCTATCGGGAAGCCTTTTGACAAGGTACCTTATTTTCCTTTTTTAAGCACAGTTGGATACATTGTAAAGATGCGAGTTATAGCTGGCACCCATGAGATTCTTATCACCAATTAACCACCAAAAATCCAGACGTCCAGGTATTATTACTCAATGGTAGAGTGCCCATCTTGAGTGAAAAAGCTAAGGGACAGTACGTAAGCCCTGAGTTTAAGCCCCACTAATGGCAAAGGAAAAAGGCAAGTTATTTTAATATCTGCAGTGTTTTTAGCAGGCATTTGCTGCAGTCTTAGAGTTACATTGAAGGTGACTGAAAGTATATAGCTGCTTTGGTTTACTGGAAAGTAATAACTGACGATGACAGACGTGGCTTGGCAAGAAAGCACGAGTCCAGCTTCTCAGTTAGACTGCAGTGAGTGGGCCTCTCTCCCATGAAACAACAGAGGACAAGTAACACTGTTGCTCTGAAATGACAGCATGTGGGGGGCTACAGGTAGAAGAGTTGTATATAAGAGTGCTTCATCATTGTACAGGAATTCACAATAAGAATAAGTTGGACAAGTTTCATTACTAAGTAATGAAAACTTGCTCTGTCTTATAGTACATTCTTCATTGAGAAAGTGGTAAGACCAGTTCAAACCAATTTGGTTCTAATTTTATATGATATGTGTAATATTTTATATAATATGTATAACATGTGTAGTGTGTTATATAATATTTGGTCTGTATAACATGTTGCAAGTATAATATATAATATAATTCTGTAGTGTATGATATAGATAATGTATATTTTATATATATGGGACATGTTACTATCTTAAACTCTAAGTCAATTTATATAACTGGGGAAAATGCATGCCAATTACACAGAGGAAAAAGTTAACTTTTCATTTATCTGATTCAAAGAATTAACTTCATATTTTCTGTTCCTCCAGTTTAAAGCATGTTTTGGTTTAATGCATGAGGATTAAAAAAATAAGCTTACATTCTTTTAATAGAATGTATGTCCCTAGGAAAACAAAATGTAGCTTAAAATTTTTTACACTAGATCTCCTTTGTCATTCTTTGGGCCAGTAAAAGTCAAAGAATCATTTTAGATTTTCTTTCAGTGATTACATCTAAATGGAACCATGGCTTGCATCTTATTTTTTTTTTTAATTAACTTTCCACAAATCTTCTCAATTATATGTCCCAGTTTGTCTCAGACAGCCCCAGCTTCTCCTTGCCCTGGCGTGAACAGTAGTAGTGTCTCATTTCATTTTTTACAATTGTCCTGTTTTAGACGATATGTTCTATGCTCATCCAGTGTCACTCCTGCTCACCACTGACTCTGTTAAATGAGATGCTGTGTGCCAGTGCTGCTTCTGCTTATAAAACCAAGTCACTGCTTGGATCAGGCCTGCTGTCCTCTCAGTGATGCCAATATGAAAAGAGGCAGCTTGGCTCCATTTAACGGCAAAGATTATAGCAATGAGAGTGTATTTGAAAAGTTAGACATCACTGGAATTTGATGAACTGCAATTTTGTAGCCACTTCCTTATGGAATAATATTTGGGGATTTTTTTTTTTACTGTAATAAGTTTTATTCTCATTGTAGACAATCCGCCATTACCTGGACCCTTTGTGGCACCAGCTTGGAGCCAAGACAAAGTCCTTGGTCCAGGACCTGAAGATACTCCGGACCTTGCTGCTGTACCTCTGCCAGTACGACTGCGTCACCTTTCTTAACCTTCTGGAATCTCTGAGAGCCACGGAAAAGGCTTTTGGTCAGAATTCAGGTAAGAGAGAAAAATTCCTAAGTATATAAGAGCTGACAGGATTAGGGTTAGGTGGGGAGCAGGCAGGTGTGGGGAGGGTCGTCTTCGGCTGAGTTACAAGCCAAGATCCCGATTACAGCTCAGCTTCCTTGCACAACCAGTAGGTTTTCTTGATAGCTAATGTTGCCACCTACTTAACTTCTGTTCCGTATAATAACAAATATTCATATCCCTTCCAGGCAATGTTGAAAAAAGACTGCAAATAGACCATCTCCAATGTAGACATAGGCTGTGCTCTGGAAGTTTCACTGTTAGAACTTTAAGGTTCATTTTTCCCCCCCAAAGAAACAGCAAGGGTTGAAAACTGAAGAAAATGGGGCTGGGAATGTGGCTCAGTGGTAGAGTGCTTGCCTCGCATGCATGAGGCCCTGAGTTCAATTCCTCAGCACCACATAAGCAGAGAAAGCTGTGGAAGTGACGCTGTGGCTCAAGTGGTAGAGTGCTAGCCTTGAACTGAAGAACTCAGGGACAGCACCCAGGCCCAGAGTTCAGGCCCCACGACCGACAAAAAAAAAAAAAAAAGAAAACTTAAGAAAATATACATATTCAACTGGCTGCGATCTTATTTCCAACAAACTGGATATCCCTCCCTGACTCTTTCACAGGATCCTTGGCCCCTAGGGTCAAGATTTTAATACAACCAATCATTTTTCCTGCTTTTCCAGCTACAAATACATGACAGTAAACAATTCATCAACAGCTAGTTCCCTTGTCTGCTCCTGCCATAATTCATGCAAAGGCACCAATGGTGTTTCCCACCACTGGGCCATCGATGGAAGTGTCAGCATAGTGGAAAAACAGTATTATTGAGAGATAAAACTACAACTTCGCATCCCCCCCAAAAAATAATCTTGGGGGCCCCCCAGAAGCCCATAGGTCACACTTTGATAACCAGTAGTCTGCCAGTGACAGAGGCCACAAACTGTAAGAGGAAGTAAGGCAGGGTGGTAGGAAAGCAAGATGGCGGTAGGCTGTTGGGTGCAGAGGTCACGTGTCTGCCAAAGTGTTTAGTAATTAAATATTAACTGAAGCCTTGTTTTTTCTGCTACTCGTATTAGGTTGGCTGTTTCTTGACTCCAGTACTTCAATGTTTGTAAATGCCCGAGCCAGGGTTTATAATATTCCAGACTCCAAAATGAGCAAAAAAGGCAAAAAGTCTGAGAAAATGGAGAATAAAGAAGGTCAAGGTATCCTATATGCTCAAGTCTCTAAATGTGTCTTCACCTATTCTGCATGGGAACACTTACCAAATTATAACTTAAACCACCTTCTGCCATGGGTTCATGTAATGCGTGCTATCAGTCATGAATGTTCTTATCTCTGCCTACAAATGCTTTGACATAGCTCCCAGATCATTAATATTTGGGCACTTAAGTCTTAGTAGAACATCATCATCCCTTTGAATTTGTAGGGCTGAGACTAGAATGGGGCAACTGTGGATTTTAGCCCAACGTCTGTCTAACAGCTATCAAATATCTCCAGGTAAGGGGTGGCTCAGTCCTTGCCTTCTGCTTAGTTTAATCAAAGGTCTATCTTAAAACTTAATGTAAGTTGGGCACTGGTGGCTCATGTCTGTAATCTTAGTTACTCAGGGTGGTGAGGTTGAGGATCATAGTACAAAGCCAGCCAGGGCAGGAAAGGATATAAGACTCTTATCTCTAATTACCAAAAAGTCAGAAGTGGATCTGTGGCTCAATTGTTAGAGCACCAGCCTTGAGCAAAAAAAGCAAGGACAAGCCGGGCGCTGGTGGCTCACGCCTGTAATCCTAGCTACTCAGGAGGCTGAGATCTGAGGATCGTGGTTCAAAGCCAGCCGGCAGGAGAGACCGTGAGACTCCTATCTCCAATAAACCACCAGAAAACCGGAAGTGGCGCTGTAGCTCAAGTGGTAGAGCGCTCGCCTTGAGCTGAAGAGCTGAAGGACAGCGCCCAGGCCCAGAGTTCAAGCCCCACGACCAGCCAAAAAAAAAAAAAAGCAAGGACAGTGCCCAGGCCCTGATCAAACCCTAGTACCAGCACAAAAAAAAAAAAAAAACTTAATGGTGCATTGGAGCATTTACAGAAATCATCTTGGTTGTTGTCAGCTTTTATCCATATTCAGGGTTGTGAAATCATTTAAAGCACCATTACCCAGTGCTGGTTGCTTAATTTGCATAGCTGCTTCGATGTGGCATCACAGGGACCCTGACACAAAGCCATCTCTTCTGTGTTAGGGCACCACAGCCTCCGGTCATGTTGGTTAGGTACAACATACAGAGGCCTGTTCAAGAAGGCAGAGTCTATGTAGCATTATAAAGAAGAAAGCTCAAAAAAAGTGGCTGTATGGAGTGATGGTGTTTCCTGCTGTACTAAAACATTGGGAAGAGTGTGTGGGCAGCTGTCGTCACGTGAAATGAAGTACTGTTATTTCTATACAGAAACAAAGAAGGAACTGGTGCTTGAAAGCAATCCCAAGTGGGAAGCCCTTTCGGAAGTGCTGAAAGAGATCGAAGCAGAAAATAAGGAGAGCGAGGCCCTGGGAGGCCCAGGTAGGAAGATGGAGGCAATGACAAGCAGTTTCAGAATCTTTGCACCAAATCTTAACTTGCTTAGCTCTTAAGTAGCATCTCACTATTTTTGTTGATAAAAGGTAGCCAAGTAAATCACAGTGAGCACAGAGATGCCAATGGCAAACGCAGCTCCGGCCATTGGATGAGATTTTCACCAAGCTGACTCATTGTATGCTCATGCAGCAGGGTCTTCACTGGTTGGCACCTCAGGACCTCCATGTGACGATTCCCCTAATGCTCTCACCAGGCTTCAAATCTGGAATACCTAAGAATAAGCTAGTAGGTGTTCCAGTTTCTGTCCTCAGCTCAGAGTTCTTCTCTTTCACATAGCCATGACTGAAGATTCTGTGCATTTGTGTATCAGTACACATAATTTACACATATATTCAACAACTCTGTTAATTCCATTGGAGAAGGTATTTCAGATTTCTTTAAGAATTAGTCTGCTCAAAATTTTCTGATTTAATGAATTCTCTTAGTTGCCTTGGACAACTTAGACTATGTCCACAGCTTGAATCTGTTTATTACATAGTAAAGATAATAGCATTTATTATAGTTGTTAGAGAATCAAATGCTGTTTTTTTATTCTTACAGAGCCACTGTTTAGAGAGAATCTTCTCTGTGCTGCACTAGTCAATTATCTCCATCTGGGGCATGGAGATTAGTCAGTTCTTCTATATGATTTAATATTTCACATTTCATTAATCCATTTGGAATTTATTCTAGAGTATAAAATCCTCTGGAAAGGTATTAATTAAAAAGAGCTAATTAGTTGTAAAGAGATTCTGTAGTGGCTTTGCTTGTGCAAGACTGAGTCGTCCTGACCCGAGCTTCCCAAGCTTCCTAATCCTGTGGGAGGCCCATGCGATGCGTGGGGGCTGAGGGCTCTCACAGGGGCAGGAGGACAGGCTCGGGCAGATGGGGCCCCAGGAGTGAGGGAAGGACGGGGGGGGGGGGGGGGATGGCGGCCCCAGGAGCGAGGGAAGGACAGGCTGGGGGAGATGGGGGCCCCAGGAGCGAGGAAAGGACAGGCTGGGGCAGATGGGGGCCCCAGGAGTGAGGGAAGGACAGGCGTGGGGGGGGAGATGGGGGCCCAGGAGCGAGGGAAGGACAGGCGTGGGGGGGGAGATGGGGGCCCCAGGAGCGAGGGAAGGACAGGCTGGGGGGGGAGATGGGGGCCCCAGGAGCGAGGGAAGGACAGGCGTGGGGGGTGGGGAGATGGGGGCCCAGGAGCGAGGGAAGGACAGGCGTGGGGGGGGAGATGGGGGCCCCAGGAGTGAGGGAAGGACAGGCGGGGGGGGGGGGAGATGGGGCCCCAGGAGCGAGGGAAGGACAGGCGGGGGGGGGAGGTGGGGGCCCCAGGAGCGAGGGAAGGACAGGGGGGGGGGGGAGATGGGGGCCCCAGGAGCGAGGGAAGGGCGGGGGGGGGGGGGGCCGACAGGCAGGAGAAGGGCCGAGCCGGCGCCCCAGCGTGTCCTGTCCCCCAGGGCAGGTGCTGATCTGCGCCGCTGACGACCGCACCTGCGCCCAGCTGCGCGGCTACCTGGCGTCGGGCGCCCAGGCCTTCCTGCTGCAGCTCTTCCGGAGAACCTTCGAGAAGGACGGCAAGGCCGAGGCAGTGTGGACGGAGTTCGGGAAGGCGGGCGGTTCAAAGAGAAATCCGAAATCGGGCAAGAGACCCAGGGGCCCGCCCAAGCGGGGCCCGGCCCCCGCGGGAGAGCGGGCGGCGCGGAGGAAGCGGCGCGGGCCGGCCCCGACGGCGGCGGGCAGCGCGGCCCGGCCGGGCCCCGAGAGCAGCGGCAGCGGGGAGGAGGCGGAGGCCCAGCGCGGGGCCGAGGAGCGCCCGGAGGCCGCGGACCCGAGCCCGAGGTCGGACGAGGCCTACGGGGTCCTCCGCGAGCCGCTGGCGGTGCTGCACCCGCTGCTGGGCTGCGGCGACCCCTACGCGCTGACGCGGACGCTGCACGAGCTGGAGCCCCGCTACGTGGTCCTCTACGACGCCGAGCTCGCCTTCGTCCGCCAGCTCGAGGTCTACCGGGCCAGCCGGCCGGGGAGGCCCATGAGGCAAGTCCGGGGGTCAGGGAGGCCGGTGGGGCGAGGCTGGGGGTTGGGGAGACCTGGGAGGTAAGGGGGCGTGGGGGGAGAGGGGCAGCGGCGAGAGGCGAGGCCGGACCCGGGAGTCGAGGCCTGTGAGGCCAGGCCGGGCCGCAGTTCCCACCCTCAGGCAGCGTGGTTGGGACACAGGCTTCTGAAACCGCCTGAGCCCCTGCAGATGGTGTCACAAAGCCCAACACCGAGAGCCTCCTTACAATCCCCAGCCCTTCTAAAAGTTAGCATATCTGTACAGATAACTTAGCCTTCTAAAATGTCTTCCTTATAAACTGAGAAGTGACTCTAAATTGCGTCTGCATAGAACTGAAGAGTTTGGGGGAATTACTGTACCCAGCCTCCTTGAGTGCCAAGAAACCAGATGAGAAATCTACTGAAAATATCAGATGAGAAAACAGCGCTCAGAGAATATGGTGTTCTCGCTGTCCAGTTATCTGAGAGAAATAAACAGAAGGATTAATATCCTAAACTCAGCTGGAACCAAAAGCAGGGCCAAAAGAATCTTGTAGCTGTTGAAACGAATGCATCCTTTGGACCTAGAGCTGAATGGGGTCCGGGTCAGCAGTGATGATGGGCAGAAGCTGGCAGTCAAAGCCAAGTACAGCTTTCATACTTGGTGGGGCAGCCTTGGAGATAGCTCATGAATCATGTCGACAGTAATACCCAATTCTGAATCAGAATGTCAGGAGCAGAAGGGGCCTGGGGTCAAACCACTCACTGTAGGAAACAGATGTGGCACATCTGGGTGAGCAGATGTATCTGAACTCATCACACAGTGCTCTTCTCCCTGTCTGCTCTTTACAAAGTATCAGAAAATAAAGACACAATTTAAGAAAGGAAATACCTCTGATAGGAAAGCCACCACAAAGGTGCTAGTGCTGAATTGAGCTCCTAGCCACAAAGCATGCTTTTTTTTTTTTTTTTTGTCAGAAGAAAACATTGCCAAATTATTTTTTGAGATACTGGATGGAAATCTAATCTGTGTACGTAGGTAAAATGTGTGATGGCCCCATTATGTTAAGATATGGATAAAACATCATTGTAAAGACAAAGGTCATGGATTCAGTTTTTCACTAACAGGAATTTGATAAACTCATCTTTGGACCTCCTGTCCAACTTGTTAAGTGATTGGCAGAAGGGCAGAGACAAAAGAGAAGTCTTCTAAGGTTTTGCAAGTGTTTTATTTGTCCATAATGATGAGGAAAGAATCTCATTCTCCCCTCGTTATTTTCTGGTTTTGGCCTGAACTCTCTGCCTGTGACCGCGGGTTTTCCGCAGCCTGCTAGGAAGGAGTGTGTGGTGGACAGCCTTTCACTCTGCAGCAGATACGCTCTGTGTGGCTGACTTCAGGTGCTCTGCTGATCCCTTCAGGGATAGAACCATTGTGCTTCTGCACGCTTAAGAGTTGCCTTACCTTTCAGGGTTTACTTCCTTATATATGGGGGTTCCACGGAGGAGCAGCGCTACCTCACCACCCTTCGGAAAGAAAAGGAAGCCTTTGAAAAACTTATCAGGTAATGAGGTAGTCAGCAGGACAGACTGCTATGCTGAAGGCCTCAGGCTTCTCTGGCTGATAGGACTGGACTACCAGACTGCCGTGGCGGGGTGGGGGGTTGAGGGCAGTGACCAAGCAGGTGGTAAGAGCACCACAGCCCTCACCAAGCAGAGGTAAGGTCCTGGCACCCCCACACTGTTCCTGGTTTATGATTTCTACACATCCGGGCTCACTGTGGGTAAGCCCTGCTTATTATGAGCATAAGAACTAGGATTTTTTTTTTCTGAACTCTTGCGTAGCAATTGCCTCTCTATTATAAACAAGATCTTCCATAAAGTACAAGACCCAATGTTCAATCCCCCACTGTGCCAAAGGAGGAAAAAAAAGAAAGAAAAAAGGATAGATCAGATGGTTACACTATTTAGAATCTTAAGATATTTACTTTCCCAGAAAACTTGGGGGAATTTGATAGGTGTTTTAAAAAAAAAAAAGGTTACATTACCAGAAGACCATTTGCATCATGGCTGTACTTAGAAGAAAATTGAATGTGAGAATAAGATCATGCGCTTTTGCCAAGACCTCCATGGGTGATGTGGTAAGAACAAAGGCAGTGTTATATTTAACCAGAAAGGAATGATTCGACGCAGGATTGTTTAGCTCGGCTACAGATCGGCTGATTACAGCTGACAAGAGAAAACATTACAGCTGGCCACTGATGATGAAATGCTCCTGGATAGAAAAAACGAGTGCTAAGCCCCACTGCAGACCCCGCTTTTCCAGGAAAGGGCTGAGAGTCTTTGTGGTTTCATTGTTTGGACATTTAATCACAAGAGAGGACTTACACAGGCATCCATGTATGTGACTCCCAACACAGTGCCTCTTTCCTATAACACTGTTACACGAGCTGTTCATTGAAAATCTCAGCACTGGGCAGGCAGGAAGATCACAAGTTCAAAGCTAGCCTGGGCTATAGTGAGACACTGTCTCTTGTCCACCCCTTCCCACACATACCCATACCAAAAAAAAAAAAAAAATCATAGGAAATACTATAGTAACAGTAGAGAATTTAGGTTAAGTGGGAATGGGAATCAGAATTTTTAGTGTGAATCACTGGGAATAAATTATGAAGCCAGAAGACAAATTTGATTTACTAGTTAGAGAATTTCACTGTCCAGGTAGAATCTGTGGAGTTACTTTTGTTTTACTTTTTTGTGTCAGTGCTGGGGCTTAAACTCAGGGCCTGGGTTCTGTCCCTGAGCTTTTCCGCTTAAGGCTGGAGCTCTACCACATAAGCCACAGCTCTGCTTCCAGTTTTTTGCTGGTTAATTGGCAATAAGAATCTCACAGACCTTCCTGCCAGGGCTGACTTCAGACCTTTAGCCTCCGGTCTCAGCCTTCTTAGTAGTTAGGATTACAGTGGTAAGCTACCAACACCTGGCTTGGTGGAGTTGCCTTTTCTCAGAAGCTGACTCACTCCCTGCAGCGATGATCCCAGATGATCAGGTTGGGATTACCAGTATAAGCGTAGCTCACCTTTGTGGGCGGGGCACTGCAGACCCCCTTGCCGATGACAATCCCCATTGTGCAGGTGAAGATGCTGAGGTCCCACGGGCAGGGATTGGTTTCAGATGCTCACACCACTACAGGGCAGGACCTCCACTGTTGTTATTTTAAAATAGTCAGACTTTTTGAGTAAGAACTGGGCAGTCCTGGACCTTGATCCTCCTGTTTATGCTTCCTGGACCACCACAACTAATATAAGTGCTTCTGTTGAATAGATCATTTTAGGCATTAGAATTTTTTTTTTAAGAGTAAGGTTCAGGAAGTGTTAACCTGTTTCCTCCCCTAGGGAAAAGGCTAGCATGGTTGTCCCTGAAGAAAGAGAAGGCAGAGATGAAAGCAACCTGGACCTGATGCGAGGCCAAGCGTCCATGGGCGATGCCATCGACACTCGCAGAGCTGGTGAGTCCTGCAGGGTTATCACTGCCATCTGTCAGGGTGGCTGCGATTTGCACCGCACACCTCAAAACAGAAATGGTGGGAGAATGTGTCTGGTCCCCAGCTCCAACCCCAGCTCTGCCCTTAGCCACACACAGCCTCTGCCACGCAGGTGTTCTGTCCCCTGAAGGGAGTTGCAGACACAGCTTTACAGGGACTTGTGTTCTATTGCTTCATTGAGGGGCTGGAAGGGGGCCGGGTGGGATCACGGTTTGAGGCCAACTTGGGCAAAAAGAAATTCACAAGACTGGTTCCGCCATTGGCTGGGCACAGTGGTGCACACCTGTGATTCCAGCCCCAGGGGAAGCTCAAGTAGGAGGGTCACAGCTCAGGCTGGCCTGGGCGTATGGCAAGCCCCTACTTCCCAAACAGCCAGTAGAAAAAGGAGGCTTGGCTCGAGGGGTGGAGTGCCTGCCTGTCCAGCTAGAGACCCTGAGTTCAAGCCTCAATAGTATTAACAATATAACCAATAATTCTAAATACTGATAACACTAAAACGTTCTGGGATGTGCGTGTAACACCAGAGCAGCAACGGCATGAAGTGTGGAGTCATTCTGCACGCTGACCTGTATCCCCGGCCCCGTGGCCTGGGCCTCCGGCTCCCCCGTTCCCGGCTTCTGGTCCCTGGTCCCCGGGTCCCGGCCCGGGCCTCAGTGGTAGTGGACGGTGACGCGGCGTCCTCCCTGCAGGTGGCCAGGAGCCGGGCACCGAGGCGGCCCGCGTGGTGGTGGACCTGCGCGAGTTCCGCAGCGAGCTGCCCGCGCTGCTGCACCGGCGCGGCCTGGACCTGGAGCCGGTGACCCTGGCGGTGGGTGACTACGTGCTGAGCCCGGAGCTGTGCGTGGAGCGCAAGAGCATGGGTGACCTGGCGGCCTCGCTGGGCAGCGGGCGGCTCTACGCGCAGTGCCAGGCCATGGCGCGCTACTACCGCCGCCCACTGCTGCTGGTGGAGCTGGATGCGCGCAGGCCCGGCCCGCTGCTCCCGGACGTGGGCTCCCGGCTGGTGCTGCTCACGCTGCACTTCCCGCGGTTGCGGCTGCTCTGGTGCCCGTCCCCGCACGCCGCGGCCGAGCTCCTGGAGGAGCTGAAACGGGGCCGGGCCCAGCCCGACGCGGCCGCCGCCGCCGCAATCAGCGCTGACTCGGAGCCGCTGCCCGACTCGGAGCGCTACAACCCGGGGCCACAGGACTTCCTGATGCGGATGCCGGGGGTGAGCGCCAAGAACTGCCGCTCGCTCATGCGACAGGTGCACAGCCTCGCCGAGCTGGCCGCCCTCCCACAGGAGCGGCTGGCCGCCATCCTGGGCCACGCAGGCAACGCCCGCCAGCTGTTCGAGTTCATCCACACGCCCTACCCAGGCCCGGGGCCCACCGCGGGGAGGCCAAGGACCTGAGCGTGGGCCCTGGTGGCCCCAGGGGGGAGGCCCCGTGGTCCTGTGAAGGCTGCCCAGCCAGCCAGCTGCGCAGGGCTCGCCTCCCATCCTCCAGGCGCTTCTGCAAAGCCCGGGCTCCTTCCTCCCAGCATTTCTGTCTGGTCAGTGTCCAGGCCCGGCTGCTGAGCCCCACTTCTGAATTGAGCTGTGTGAGGGTGTCCACACGTCCTGCACTCTCCCACATACCCAGTGTTCCCCCTTGCCATCCACATGGTCTGCTGACCCCAGGAGGAGCCTCCTGACCAGCTCTGCGCACGTTTCCTCCAGCTTCAGTGCCTTCCACCTGTGTCAGGTTGGACTTAACTATACTCACTTCAAACCGCATCTAAAGCCGGGTAGGTGGCTCACACCTGTAGTCCCAGCTACTCAGGAAGCTGTGATCTTTGGATCCAGTTCAGAACCAGCCTGAGCAGGAACATGCTGGAAGCATTTTGCCCCTGTGAGCATTGCCACAACTGGAGGCTCTAACCACGCTCATACATGGGCACATACTCACACTTGGCTGCTCAGGCAAGTGTGAGTTTTAAGACATCCAATGAATTTTACCGGATGACAACACAGGATGGTGCAGGTAATGAGGCTCTTAAATTCTGTAGCCTCCAAAATCTCAAAACTCTCCAAACCCCGACAAGGAGCCATGAGTCCTACGAGGCCATCCCCAGCTCTCTCTGGGGTACCTGGTCTGAGACAGCAGGTCGCGGCCTCCCTCCGCCCTGTTGCCCTCGCCACTTCCCTGCCCGCCCCTTCCCACCCCTGCGAGGATGCAAATAAAGGAATGGCCTAGCTAGCATTCGCTCTTCTCCACTCCAAGTAGAGATGAAATGACTAGAGCTAAATGGAAGACATTGTAGACTATCTAAATGGAAGACATGCCGAATATATAAGAATTCAAAGGCTGTATTTAGAAATCCATGGAGAAACTCAACACGTCATAAACCTTCGGTTGCTTTAGGTCATCTCTGAAATGTGCATACAGAAGAGCCATAACATTTTGATACAGTTTGTTAACTTTGGTACATATGCATTATTAACTTATCTTCACATACCACATCTTCTACCTCAAGAGCCAGTGCAGTGTCAGTTCTGCTGGCCAGGTCACAGAGTGGAAGATCTCATCCCTGTTGGCTGTTCTTTCCTTTGTGGCACAGAACAGAGAGAAAGTAGACCTTGTGATGAGATGGTCAACGATTTAATGAAAGCACTTTTCAAGAACCTCTCATTTTGGCGTCTTGACTGTTGGTACTTAGCTCTCCATATTCCTGGAGTGTCCATTTCAGGACCCTCCCAAGGGGCCACAGCCGCCATGCTATAGTGTGTTCCGCGGAAGGCAGAGCTCCTGCACCCGTGCCCTGCGCGCACCCTCCTGTGGGCAGTGCACACACCAGCGCCAGCCCACCCCTCTTCTCATAGTCAGGCCATGCTTGCCCAGCTTCGTCCAGCCTGTGCCGTGGGATTGCACTGTCCCTTTCTCATTTCATCCCATCTGCCTTGCATGGCTACTCACTGCGTGACACAAATGTTAGTGTGATTCATTCTGGGATGACGCTTCCACACACGTGAAGTCTTGTCAGCCCTTAAGTCTTGTCAGCTCCCTTTAACCTGCCCTAGGTGTCCAGGGCAGCACATACAACAGTCCCTCAAAAATCTGCTATTCCAGGCTGGGAAGGTGGCTCAGTGGTAGAGCGCTTGCCTTGCATGCATGAGGCCCTGGGTTCGATTCCTCAGCACCACATAAGCAGAAAAAGCCGGAAGTGGCGCTATAGCTCAAGTGGTAAGTGCTAGCCTTGAGCTGAAGAGCTGAGGGACAGCGCCCAGGCCCAGAGTTCAGGCCCTACAATGGACAAAAAATAAATGAATAAATCTATTCCACGTGGGAGCTGCCGGCTGCAGATAGGTTGACTCTGTCTCAGTGTGTTTTAAGTATGGCCACAAATTTCTAATGAGCTCTAATCCATCTAACAACCTTTGATAAAGGATCCAAAGGTTGCCAGATGCATGCATGCAGTTGCCAGATGAACGCTTTCCTTGATTTTCTAACCATGTTCACTAACTCCACCTTTCAAGAATTATGACTATCCAGCTTATAGATGAATTCATGTTCATTCAGGAGAGTAATGCTGTTAAACCAACATTGTTCTGTTTTACAAGGGATTTTTTTTTTGGTTGGTTGTAGGGCCTGAGTTTTTTTCACTAGAAGCTAGTACTCTCATCACTTTGACCCACAGCACCATTTCCAAGAAAATCTCTTTTGAGTTTTGCTTGTTTCAGTCATGCAGCCTCTCAAAGTTAACTTAGCATGATTCAAGAAGAAACTGTTCTCAGTAAGTAAGAAGTGACCTGCTGCTGGGTGCCAGTGGCTCACCCCTGTAATCCTAGCTACTCAGGAGACTGGGATCTGAGGATCATGGTGTGAAGCCAGCCCTGTCAGGGTAGCCCATAAGATTCTTAATCACCAAAAAGCCAGAAGCAACAGCACTCAGGCCCTGAGTTCAAAAGCCCCAGGCCTGGCACTCAATAAATAAAGAAAACTCCTCGGGCTTGACTGGATTAAAATGCAGCCAGGCTTCAACAGGAACCTTTTTATTTGCTTTCTGATTCAATGTGCAACATGAGCACACGACTACCCGGCCTCGCCAACAGCTTTGGTGGCTGCACGGCTGTGATGTGGCAAGGAGGGAGATGAAAACTAACACGTCTGCCCATGACTAAGCTGTGTGCGTGTACCTAATGAAATGTATGTTTATTCAGTATTCAACGTCTTATGGGGCAAAACAAAAGTAACAGCACACTGAAAGCATGGTTTACCTGCCACGTATTGGTAAACGCTGAGAATTTGGAGGCTGTCATCTTTGCTCTTGGTTATGCACAGCATCTGAGTAAAGCTGAAATGCCCTGCGAGCCCCTCCTGGTGCTGCTTGCCTCACTGCCTCCTGCTTCCTCAGGAATCAGTTCCTTTTCTTCTTGTTTTCCCTTCCTGGTTCACACTCCTTCCTACTGGAGACCCCCAGGCCCTCACCCCCACTCCCGTTGTCTTTTGCAGGGAATTGGTTTGTTGTATGCAGTAAGTATGGCTAGACCAGTGCACTCCACCTCCTTCCCACCAAGGGTTAAATTAACTTCTCTCCATGCCTGCCACATACTCTTGTACCTTTGACATCAATGTTGGGAGAAATAGTGTCTTTTTGGCACATATGGAATTGATTGCAATTTCTTGAAACATTTTAATACTTTTAAAATTTGGCTCATTTCATTATCTTTGCTTCTACTTTGAAGTGTAGATCCTGTCCCTTTTTTGTTTTGTTGTTGTTGTTGTTGTGCTTGTACTAGGGCTTGAACTCAGGGCCTGGGTGCTGTCCCATAGTTTTTTGCTCAAGGCTGGCACTCTACCACTTGAGTGAGCCACAGCTCCCTTGGTGGTTAATTGGAGATCAAGAATCTCACAGACTTTCCTGCAAAGGCTGGCTTCAAACCTCAGATCCCAGCCTCCTAAGAAGCAAAAATTATGGGCGTGTACCATCAGTGCCCAGTTCGTGTTCCTGTTTAATGAGATGTTATTTCTCTAAATACTTTTATATCTGAATAAAGGCTGGCAGGCAAATGAACCCTCTCTGCGTAGAGCTCTAGTGCCTCTACCATCCAGTTCCCATCATAATGCTTTTTTTTTTTTTGTCAATCATGGAGCTTTAACCCAGGGCCTGGGTGCTGTCCCTGTGCTCTTTTGCTCAAGGCTAGTGCTCTACCACATTGATCACAGCGCCACTTCTGGATTTTGAGTGGTTAATTGGAGAAAAATGTCTTACAGGGACTTTCCTGCTCTGCCTGGCTTTGAACTGTGATCCTCAGATTTTAGCATCCTGAGTAGCTAGGATTACAAGTGTGAGCCACTGGCATCTGGCTGTAAGAGAACTTTTGTCTCCTGTGGTGCTGAGGCTGAGCTTGGGCCCAGTAGTGAACAGTGGAACCACAATGGGAAATACAGGTGGTATGACTCCAGAGGCTCTGGTGGAACGGGAGACAGGCTGGAAAGGGGAAGGACCGGTTGTGGGAGACTGGTGTGTGTCCACTCTCATATAAGTAGCTATAAATATGTTACAGAAAACACAAATTAGTTTTCTTTCATCCCAACAACAGAAGTTCCAGGCATGGTGGTATATGCCTGTAATCCCAGCACTCCAGAGGCTGAGGCAAGAAGGATCCAGAATTTGAGGCCAGTCTGGGCTACATAGTGGATGGAGGGGTGTTCTTAAACAGTTTTACTTTTGGGGGGGGGCAGTTAAACATTTCTGCCACCCTTTAACCAAACAACAATAAATCTCTGGGTTGTTGATTTTCTCCTAAACAGATTTTCTCTAAACATCACCCTGATTTCCTTATTAACTCATTATTGGATTGTTTGGTTGTTTTTTTCCTTTAATGAGTCATGTTTTCAACTCTTGGGAACATTATACTTCACAATAATATTGCCTTGAGCTCTGGTAACTGCAGCTTCACGATGAATCTATTCCCAGCTTCATACTCCTACAAGTTCAACCTCCTAAAGAAACCTAAAATGCCTGCATTTAGGTGGAAAAGAGAGGAGGTGATAGCAGCTGGTGGGAGGAAAGAAGGAAGGGAAGTGAGGAGGATGGGAGAAGGAGGAGGAGGGGAACGCGGAAATGAGGGGGAGGAGAGGGAGAAGGGGAGCTGAATCACAGGGCCTCACCACAGACTCTGGTCCTGTGGGGCCACACCCCAGGCCTGGGGGTGCTGCAAAGCTGTGGGAAGATGGAGATAAGGAAACCCAGAGTCTGGGACAAGCAGCAGGTCAAAGGTGATTTTTGTGTGTGTGTGGGTAAAAAAGAAGGGAGGTCTAGGAGAGAAGAAATACTTAAAGGAACCAAAGCCCAGTGTTGGGGGAGCTGAGGGTGGAGTTAAGAAATAAACATGGGTTTGCTTGTCTTCCCTTTACACCTTCAGAAGAGCTGCCTTTGTATTGAAGTACCTCTTAAAGGCCAGTGTTTATGGTACCGAGTGTACCCCAGCCTGGAGGAGCAGAAAGGGCAAAGCCAGAGTGCATAAGTGAGCCCTTTGCTCAGGTCCTCTCTGCAGGATCTGCGGGCACTGGAGCTGGCTGGGGAGTGCTGAGAGCCCCTCTGCGTGTCCCTCTCTTATTACGTAAAGCAACCTTTTCCAGAGTGCACGAAGCCAAAGTAGGCACTGGCGAATGTCAACCTGGGACTGGAAAGCCAGTGGACAGACCCTCAGCCATCTCTCTACCCAACCCCAACACTTGGTGAGGAAGGATTTTTATTTTGGTCCCACCAAGCTTGCTGTAACTGGGGCGGCTGCGTTGCTATGGAGACTCGGTCTCAAAACAGAACAGTTTGCTTCCGTGCATTGAAACAGCCGATAAATCCACTTCGTGTCACTCGATCGTGACATTAATTCCAGTTGAAACACATGCCACCTCCTCCCCCCCCCACGCCCCCCCATCCTCCAGGCTCCCACCAGGACTCGTGTATATGAATTTTAAATCACTGTCAGGAAAGCATGCCCAGCCTAGAAGAATTGTAACTTTGGCTGTTCTTGAACCCAGGTCTTTAGGATACACACTTACACGCACACACACACACAGGTCTTTAGGATGCACACACACACACACACACACCCTCGCTTGCTGGGGTCCTGGAGCTCTTGCCTCCAGGTCAGCTGGAGGAACATCCAGCCCTGCAGCAATTCTGTGGTTCATTGCTCCAGTATGGGCCCTGGCTGAAAGCTGTGACTCACACTCCACTCTGTCACTAATAGAGGGGGGTGGACAGGGTGCAGAGATAAACCGAAATCCCAGACCTTTTGCAAAATCCATGACTCACAGACATGTGGGAGTGATTGTTGTTCCTGGCTTCGCCAGTAGGGAGTGCCATTGAGTCACATGCTGGGCGGGAGTCCGGGACACCTAAGGATGGCTGTGCCCTGGACCTGAATGGGGCGTAGCTGCCTCTCTGCCTAACGGAGGGGGGTAGAGGGAGAGCGTGCAGATGTCTTGGTTGCAGCATGACTCACAAACAAATGGAGGACAGATTCACTGCTTCTTATCGGAGTCCGAGACACGCTGAGTCAGAGCTGGGTGGGGTGAGAAGTCTTGCAGGTCAGAGGGGAAACATGCCTTGAGGATGGGATGGGTTTGGGGGCTGAAATGCCATCAGAGACCCCACATGAAACCCTGGGCTTGTAGGTGACATCAGATCCCTGCATCTCCCCTATGGAAATTTCCAGATTGAGATTAAAAATCTGGACACACACACACACACAAAAAAAAAACCTAACTATACACTGGGCACTGATAGCTCACACCTATAATCCTAGCTACTCAAGAGGCTGAGATCTGAGGATCACAGTTCTAAGCCATCCCAGACAGGAAAGTCCAAGAAACTCTTATCTCCAATTAACTGCCAGAACACCGGAAGTGGTGCTGTGGCTCAAAGTGGTAGAGCACTAGCCTTGAGCCAGAGAGCTCAGGGACAGTGCCCAAGCCTTGAGTTCAAGCTCCAGAGCCAGGAGGAAAAAAAAACAACCTGGCCAAACCCACAAGGCAACAGATTTGGATTGCAAATACTTGTTAGCAGTGTTGTGTTTTGTTTTTATTTCACAGCACGTATGTGTCAAAAGTCATCAAA